CATGGTCGTTTCAGGGAGTAATATCGAAGGGGTTACTTTTGGGGGGTTTTCCACCTCCCTTTCTTTTGTCTGCCGAGGGGGCTCAGTAGATGTGGGGTTTGCTATCCCAGAGCACGGGTTTTACACATAAGGGTAGCATAGGACGGGTTCCATGTGAAATCTGCACTGCTTGTGGGTCGCTACTCTAATAAGGAAAACTTACAGCCCTCCTTGCCTTCTAGTGACTGTCCCTCCATTTTTCGCTTTTTTTTTTTTCCTTTTCTTTTTTTAAAAAATAACAAAAAAGAAGCCCCATTATCATGGAGCTTTTTTTCTGTGATAACCCCCTCCTCTAGGCCACTTTCTTTTCCCCACATCCTTTTGCCCTTTTCCCAGCTCTTTCATCCCCCTTCCTTCTCTGGTATGTTTTGTCACCTGCTCCGGTCTGAGTGCCACCCATTTCTGTTAATCCCTCTGTTCTTGCACCCCTTTGAAAAATGCATCCGGTTTCCCCCAAAAGGGTGCGATGGTTTTGGATTGCCACCTCCCTCGGGTTGGGCCCCCCCATACACAAACAAACCGCCACATACTGACGAGGTTCTTTATGTCCCCCAAAAACGACCTAGCCCATTTTTACAAGTTCATAGGTAAATTTTTTTCCCTAAACTGACATCTCCAACTGATTATTTTTCTGACCATAGGTATCGATAAACCCCTTTTTCACGACATGTTACCTTTCAAGGGGGGGCCCCTTGGCAGGGAAAGGCTTTGGGTCTGGGAATTAGACCTGTTGGTCCCTTCCTCAACCGAACCAATTTACCCCCCAAACCCCCCCCTTCCCAATCCCATCCCCCCCCATCCCCCCTTTTTTTCCTTTTCCCTCCCCCCCCATCCCTTATTCCCTTCCCCCTTTCTGGCCTTTGGGGTTCATCCCCAGGCCTATGGTTTTCCTAGGTGGGAAAAGGGACCGGGGTCAATCCCATTCTGTTGGGGTTTTTTTGGGGGTGGGTAGTTTTTGCCCTGGAATCTGGATCGTGGGGGTATCCCCTTCCTCTCGGTTTCTGGAGGGTCGTTTGGGTGTCTTTCAGGGAACGGGTGTATCTCTGGAGGCTCCTTTCGATTCGGGGGTTTGGGGCCAAAGGGTATGCTTTGTGGGGATATCCCGCCACCCTTCTTTTTCCACCGAGGAGCTCACAGATGTGGGGGTTCTATACTAAATTGCTGGTTTACTGGCATGAAAGGGAGGGTTGGGTGGGGTTTCCCTCTGCATCTGCACTACTTGTGGTGTTGAGGGCCTCTTGTGCTGGAGGGTGATTTCCAGCCCTTCATTCCCCCTAGGAATATTCCTCCCCGTTCCCCCTTTTTCCTTTTTTTATTTTCTTCTTTCTTTTTGTTCTTAAAACAAAAAAAAAGAAGTAACCTAACCATGGGAAGCCCTAAACCAGAACCGCTACCCCCCGGGGCCCCCTTTCTGAACCGCACCCCATTTTGACCCTCCTCGTTTTTTGACCACTCTTTGGACACCTGATGCCCCTTACCTCTTGCAGGTGCTGTTTCAGTCACACCAGCATTAGGTATCGGGGTTTCGACTGACTCTCTCCGATGTCTGACCTCTGCCCTCCTTTACTATGCTTCCGGCCTCTCCCTCTAACGGTCCACAGGCAATTTTTCGAATGCCAGCGCCGTCCCATCCCAACGTGGACCAACTCTGGTCCCACTTCTAAACACCAACGACAATCGCCTGATGATGTTACTTTGTACTTTCCCATATTCTAATCATAAAAGACCGACACGTCACGCAAACTCCCTCTCCACACTCAGTATCGGAAACCACACAAAGGACTAAATTCCTTACTTTAAAGGCCCCCTTCTTTCTATTGTCTATCTTTCCACCATAGATTGGCAAAGCTCTCCTACTCCATGTTGTAAGATATTTCATTTCATGCTCTCAAGAGCTGTATGGTGCATAGTCACTGTCCAGAATGCTAACCCAAGCTCATTAATCTTTCCTTTCGCATATCGATACTCAACTCCTATCACTATTGAAAAACAACTTTCTCTCAACAAAACTCTTTCAGTGGTATTGTCATTCTCCCCCATACCATAGTCCAACAGAATTTCCCAGACATGTGGCAATGACATTCTGTAACAACTGGAACCCCAGGATTTCCCAATTCCTCAAGTAGACATTTAATTCCTACCTCTGCCCGCGTGCAGAGATGATACCCTTGCAATGGTGGCTTGATTCACTTTCGACAGCCGTGAACTCCCATATCCTCTGTTTCTGACGCAGGACATTGGTTTACAAGTTCAAAAGGTATCCCTACCACCACAACAGTGTATGAAATTGCTGGCGTTTTGGTCACCCAACGAAATATTGCAGATCTATAGCGAATGCCCAGTCTGTGGTGCCAACGACTATTCTATATAACATCTTGCAGTCGACTCTCCTCTTGCCTTAAGTTGCATTGAGGCTCATCACCCTTCAACTCTCGCCGTTGCCAGAAGTCTTGTTTAAAATGAGATGAAATCCATTGCCTCAAAGAGCAGAAGGTTCTTCCCTTATGCTATGGCAGTTTCTCATCTCCACCTCCAACGAGACACCCCATGTTTCTTATTCTCAATGTGTTCAAAAACGACCCCCGACTTCTGGGGGTCCCATCTTCTGTCTGCGCCTCCTCTGTGGTTACCCTTCCTTAGCACCTGGTATGTAATTTTTTTTTGCTGCCTGGGCTCTGATTATTATTTATTTTATGGGTTTCCCCCCCCTACTACAACAAACACCCTTCAGTTCTGTCTCACATCTTTGCACCCATCCTCACAAACCCCCCCCGTATCCAGACCAAGACCTCGTAAGACACATTATAACCATCACCCCTCTACTTCTCAGAAGTCCAAAAAACCCCATTTGCTCAAACCTTCATTGCCCCCTCCTTCCCTCTTCCACCGCTGCATTTTACCTTCTCAGTCTCCTCCTAGTTCTTCCCCTCTCTCTGGCTCTATATAAGTGTGGAGGTTTCACCCTTCTCCTCTACTATCCTTCCACCCCCCATCCCCTACTAGTTTCTCCCTCTTCTGTCACTCCCAGTTTTCTGTCCCTCTTCCTTCCCCTCCCACCTTATTCTCCCATTCCCCTACACTCTTTTGTCCCCCCCAACTTGGAACAGTCCCATTACTGTCCCAATCATCACTCACCCTCCTCCTTCTACCTCCAATATTGTCTCCCATAGGACATCTCGAATTCAAGAAACAACTTGAAGCATTTCAGTAATAACATTGCAAGACTAAACCTTCAATGGACACTGATCCTCCACCTTTCCTTTCTCTTCCCTCTCCTCCATATCCACAACTCCATTCTTTGCAACGCTCAGTTCCTTCCGCTGCTAAGTCTTCCCGATCACACACACATTGACTTTTTCTAACCCCTAACCATAGGTGCCCTTCCCTATAGAATTCCTGGTATTTTCCTCAATGCCAATCATGGCCTATTTACAGTGGAATATCCGTGGTTCAGGGGTAATCGGGTGAGCTTCAGATGTTGACTTTCCAGGTTTTTTCCCTGTTGGTGTTTGCTATACAATGAACCAAATTACCTCAGCTGTTTTTCCAACCTATCCTCAGGCAATAATTTATGTTCTTCCGTTCGATCCTTCTCAAATGCAACCTTAAATGAAAGTGCCTTCTTCTATGCAATGATATTCTGTACTTTCAACTATTTGTCCATACCTTCCCTGCATTACACAGCGCCCTGTATCTCACTGAATAAGCGGGAATTACAAATAGTTTCTTATATCCTCTCCTCGAGCAATTTTCTATCCCAGATTTGCCTTTCTGTTTCATCCTTACCACCACCACTTCTGTTACTTAGTGTGATTTTAATGCCCATTCCTCTGGGTCTCATTGTGACTCGCGTGGCAATCCAGTTGGAGGCTTTTCTCGCCTCTCACCCCATCCAATGTTTTAAATACAGGTAACTCCCACCCATTTTGATCTTGTAACTCATAACTCTCTTGCATTGAACTATCATCTGCTCCTCCTCTCCACTGCACAGACTTCGCCTGTCTGTTCTAACCAGACTTTACTGACCGCAATCATTTTCCAATCATTTTTACTTCTCCTTCGATATTCACCACCTTTCCGTAGCCCTCACTTGGCAATTTGATCGGCAATTGGACTTTTACCTCGCAACTCACTGCTTGTAGTGAGGTGTCCATTCTTCCTTCCTTCATTGATGAGCTCCTACACCTCTCTCGACGTCATTTTAAACCCCAGCTTTCTCAGCGGTTACCCCAAACCTCTCAGCAGGCATTCTCAAGAAGTGCATTGCATGGAGTCTCCCTGCTTGTGCATTACGTATTTGGAAACAACGCTGCATGGGCATGTACTGGTACAATCGAACCATGAGAGACTTCTTTGATTTTAAGCAGAAACGTGTGAACGCACACCAATGACATCCGTGGCGCTAAACGCATCTTCTGGCGAGATTTGTTTTCCACCATCACCTCTGAATTTCTCCGTGAGTGCAGTCTGAAAAAAGTGAGGAAATTGAGTGGTAAATACTCTCCTGAACCCAGCACCATGTTCATACGGTGTCGCCGTTTGTTGATATATCAAAAACCCTTTGACGTTGCCATTGAAATTGGTCACTGGTCCTATTTCCCGTGGGCTCCATCTATTCCCCTCGTTTCTTTCTCAAAGTTCTGCCAGAAGAGTTAGTACCCTTGGACTTTTCTTCTTCTCAGAGAAGAGCTGTATAAAGTGCCTTTTGCACTCAGGAACGTGGAGGCAAACTCTCAGCTTGCAGATCAACGGCATGCTGGGCCTGACGACAATCATATTCGGATGTTACAACATTTACATCAGTCAGCCCTTGTAGCCTATTACACCTCTACAATCTTATTTGGTCACAAGGATTCATCCCCGCTGTGAAAAATCTGCCATTGTTCTCTCCTTTCTGCAAGCCTGGTAACTAACGGGACATGATGCCTCCCCTATCGTCTCATTGCTCTTACTAGTGCAGTTTGCAAAGTGATGAACGTCGGTAAATCCGACGTTTAATGTGGTATTTAGAGAGACACACAACAGTCTTCTCCACTAGTCAGTATGGCTTTTGTAAGGCCGATCTACAATAGATCCCATACAAACGCTTGGATAAAATACTATGTTCATGAGGGCCTTAGCGCATAACCACTCAGTTATTGCCACATTTTTTGACCTTGAGAAGGCATATGACACAACTTGGAGGTATAATATTTTGGCCCAAGCCCACTCCTTAGGCCTTCGAGGCAATCTACCATCCTTCCTTAAGAACTTTTTAACTGACAGACATTTAAGTGTTCGAGTCAATAATGTGCTCTCCCCTGACTTTGTCCAAGCTGAAGGTGTCCCTCAGGGATGTGTTCTGAGCACAACACTTTTTCTCCTTGCTATAAATGATTTGGCCTCTGTTCTTCCATCCAATATTTGGTCATCACTCTTTGTTGATGACTTCACTATTGCTTGTGCAGGCGCTGACTGTCACCTATTTACAGTTTCTCTCTAGCATGTGGTCGACCGTGTTTCCAATTGGGCCACCACACATGGGTTTAAATTTTCCAGCACCAAAACTCACCAAATTACTTTCATTAGATGCTCTGTCATCTCCCATCATCCTATGTACCTCTATGGCTCCCGTATCCCTGAACATAATAGTCAGGTTTCTAGGCCTTCTCTTTGACCGTAGGTTATCCTGGAAACCTCACATTACCTCTCTGAAGGCAACTTGTCACAGACGGCTGAACCTTCTTAAAACCTTTGCCCATCTTTCATGGGGAGCTGATCGTCGAACTCTCCTTTGCCTACATTCGGCCCTCATCTTATTGAAACTCGATTATGGTGACCAGATCTATTCAGCGGCTTCTCCTGCTACTCTAGCCTTAACCCCATCCATCACCAAGGATTACGTTCATTCCTTGGTGCTTTTCGCTCTTCCCCTGTTGAGAGCCTCCATTCAGAAGCGAATGTTCCATCCTTGTCTGATCGCCGTGATGCCCATTGCCTTTGCTACTATGTATGCTCTCACGATCTCCGCAATCCTTCCATTTATAGAATGGTCACCGATATTAGTAGACATTCTTTATTTGTTCGCCGCCCCTGTTTGCTCTATCCCTTCTCTCTTCGCCTACATTCGCTCTTGTCTTCCCTTCAGTTACCACCTTTATATGTTCATGTAGCATCTCACTTTTCCCTACCCCCCCTGGGAAGTTCCAACTGTTTGGGTCTCTTCTTTCTCACTCCCTTGCTCGAAAGCCCAACTGCCTATGGTGGCTTCCCACTCTCTTTTTCTTGACCACTTCCACTCTCATTCTCATGCCATCGCAGTGTACACAGATGGCTTCAAGTCTTCTGATGGCGTCGGATTCACAGCAGTGTTTCCAGACAGCATCATGCAAGGGCGTTTACTATCTTCGGCCAGCATTTTCACTGCTGAATTGCATGCCATTCTTGCCACACTTTTTCGTATCACCTCTATGCCTGTGTCATCATTTGCGGTTGTCTCAGACTCCCCTAGTGCTCTACAGGCTATATGGAAATTTGATACACCTCATCCCCTAGTTCTCGGTATCCAACTTTGGCTACACTGTATCTCTTCCAAGCATAAAGATATTGTTTTTTTGTTGGGTCCCTGGTCATGTTGACGTACAGGGCAATGAACAGGCAGACACTGCTGCGTGGTCAGCAGTACATGACCTACCAATTTCATATAGGGGTGTTCCATTTCCAGACTATTTTGCTGTAATAGCTACCCACCTTCACACCCATTGGCAACAACGTTGGTCAACTCAACTCGGTGCCGAGGATGGGAGACTACTCTCTCCCGCCTTTCCATTGGCCACACTCGTCTTACTCATGGGTATCTCATGGAGAGGCACCCTGTTCCTCTCTGTGAGCAGTGTCAAGTTCCAGTATTGATTAGCCACATTGTTAGACTGCCCTCTCTATCAACGAGCATGCAGAATTTACCTCCAACGTCATTTCCACTCTACTACTTTCTCTTTACCTTCCGTTCTTGCTGAGGGACCCTCCTTTAATCCTGACTCTCTCATTGACTTCTTGACAACGACTGATTTACTCCACTCAGCCCTTTCTACCCCAGTTTCTTGCTGTCCTCTTTCCTTTCACCATCCACTGCCCTGCTGTTCTCCATAACCTATTACTCATCCATCTCCCTTTTGCCACCTGATACCCTCGCTTCCTTCCTCCCCTGCAGCGCTGTATAGCCCTTGTGGTTTAGTGCTTCTTTTTGATCAAAATTTGTTCAGAATTCAGAACAAGCTTATGATCTTTCCCATATTACTTCCACAGATAACATTCCAGTCACAGTTCATAAGCACACTACTCTCAATTCTCATAGTGTTATGGTGGTTTTACTGTGTACCATTATAGAAAGTGATTTTCTGTCTTGCAGAGATGATATTTTAGAGCAATTAGCCCTTCAAGACCTTCCTATTCTCAAAGTGGATACATATGTCCTGCCCACTTGTGAGCAGAGGCACTTTCCCAGTAACATTGCCTGCTTAGCCTTCGACTGCCGTGAACTCCCATCCTCCGTTTATATTGCACGCCATCGCCTAGAGGTCCATAAAGTAGTCCCTACTCCCCAACAGTGTTGAAATTGCCGGTGCTTCAGACACCCCTCTAAATACTGCATATCTGTGGTGGAGTTCCTGGTCTGCATTGCTGTAGATCATGCCAATACATCTTGCAGTCTTCCCCCTCTTGTCTCAATTACAATGAGTCTCATCCTTCTTTTTCCCATCATTGTCAAGTCTGTCGTAATGAACAAGAAATTCGTTGTCTTAAGGAAAGTGAAGGCTATACTTACGTTATGGCTGTCTCTTCGCTCCGCCTTCAGGGGAATCTTCCTCATATCCCTTATTCGCGAGTAACTAGAAGGCCTCCAACCTTGGTGGAGGCCTACCAGCTCCTACAGTGTAGTGTCTTCTGGGGCCATTTCCCCATCTCTAATTCATTTGGGGTTTTTTCCCTTTCCAAAAAACCCCCACCCCCCAAAACCTTTTTCCCACCTCTACTTTTTCCCTGCTAGTTTTTTTTCCAGTCTACAAGGCCCCCCCACGCCTGTATTTTTGCAATCCCTGGTGCTTAAAAATTTCCCCCCAACATTTTTTTCCTTTTTCCCGGCCCCAAAGTGCCTGGTTCTCCCCCTTTTTTCTAACTCTCACACAAAGGTGAAGGAAACGTCCCCCCTCTTGTATTTCCTCTTCCCTGTTCCCCCCCAGCCCTTTTCCTCTCCTTTTTCACCCCAGGACTCTTTTTACCTCCCAAGCAATCTCTCCAGGTTTTCATACTCCCCTACCCCTCTCGACCTCCTTGGTTCCCTCTATGGGTCCCCCCGATCTCTACTTGCCTCTACCTCCCCAAAGCCTCTAAAAACAGGGTTTCAGCATCCCCCCTTTAAACCCCCTGAAACACTGACACTGTCTCCAACTGTATTCAGAGACAAAACCCTTGATGGAAAATGATGCACCCCTCCTCCTACCCCTTCTTACTCAGGGCCCTTTTCGCAACAATCTCTTCCGTTAAACAACATTCTGTTTTCCCTCCTTGTTTAACCCCCCGTACTGTTGCCCCCCACCATTAAACTTCACTAAACCCTAATAGCCCATAGTTTTTTACACTTTTTTGGGTTGGCATCCCTGTCTTTGTAACTAATATCTTATCTACAAAGGAAATTTTCGTGGCCCTGGAAAATGGGGAGAGTTTCCAAGTTTGCTCTCCCATTTTTCCCCCCAAAATACGTGGGGTTTACAAGCCCCCAAAAATTTGGGTTTTCACCCTGTTTTTCCCGGCCCATTTCGGTTTTTCTGCTTTTTTCCCTTGGGATCCCTTACTTGAAAATTTCTTTTTAAGGAGAGTGCGCTCTTGTGCACGTTGGTTTTCCCAGTATCAACAAGTTTTTATTCATTTGTGTGGCAGAAATTACCGCCCAAATATATAAAGTAAAAGGACACAATGCAACTAAGTGCCCATTTTATTGTGGAAAATGTTTCGCTTCCAGGAGCTTTGTCAAGCCGCTACAAACAGTACATAGACACAAAGGGTTACATAGCTTGGGATTTGAGGTGTAATACTAGTGGCGGGAGTAGTTTTAGTAATGAAATTTATGGCAGAACAATTTAATTACTTGCACATGAGAAAAAAAGGAAATAAAATTTTTTACTGGGTAGCATAAAAATAGGTTAGACAAATATTTGTATTGGGGGTTTGGGGAATTGAGAAGGCTGCTTCAGTGTTCATCCTCTGTAATGTGCTAGTGTATTATTAGCAGGAGAGATATGTGGGGCCGGGGTTTAACTTTTTTTCCCCAGGGGGGTTCTTGCAAAGACTTCAGAGATGGGAAGCTACCTTTTTTTGCTTAATTCCCATTAAAAACACCCTTTTTGTGCTGATTCAAGACTTCCCGTCGGGCGGGAAATTTGGTTTTTTAATCAAAATCGGGCGTTCCTAAAATTTAAATGAGATTTTGG